ATGGTGCAAGCGGGCTGGTGGGCCCTGGACTTGAACTTGGGCTGGACTCAGGGGCAGCGAGGGGGACGTCCGGCAGCTGCGATACCACTGTGCATGATGACTCCGCTACCCCCTGCTCTCCTGGCCACCGGGTGGGGGGTGCCTCCGGGGACCTGTGGGAGGGCACACCGTTAGTAGGCTGTGGCACCGCCTGTCCTCATCCGTAACAGCAGCCATGGGGAGGGCATAACCGGCAGAGGGGACAGCGCGTGGCAAAGGCAGGGGGAGAGGAAAGGGTGGAAGAACCCTGTGAGGCTGGAATGGTGAGCAAGGGCCTGCAGCCGCTTCCTCACTGGTCTCCAGACTCCCTGCTTTAGTCCCTTCAACCTGCTGTAATGGCAGCTGATCTGCAGCCTTGATCTGCTGTCCCTGACCTTCAGGTCCCCTCTGACACACTGAGCAACTACTACTCCCCCATCTCTATCCCGAACACAGCATGCTTCCATGCTGGCCCTCCTGCCTCTTCCTACACTGGGCCAACTCTTCTCATCCTTAAAACTTATCTGAGATATCACCTCCTCCCAGAAGTCCTCCTGGATCATCTCAGGTCAGATGATCGACCCCTGACCCCTGTCTGCTCCCCATTCTCACCCCAGCCTGTGAGTTTGCTGAGGCCAGAAGCTGGTTCCTGGCCGCTGCTTTAGTCTTAGCACATGATGACAATGACATTTGTGGAGAGCGCACTTTCAGGCCAGGTACCATGCCTTATGCGAATTATCTCATTTATTTATCTCAACAGACTCGAGAGGAGTGACTGACATTTCCTGAAGAGGAGAGGGAGGCTTCGCAAGGCTAAGACCCAGAGCTGACAGATACGGTATCTGGGGTCCAAATGCAAACGCTGGGGAGGTGTCAGGCTCTGCAGTTCACAGGCCACATCCCCTTTAAAATAAATCAGACACATGGCCCTCCCTGCCTGTCCCTAACCTGCCACATTCTCCCTCCAGGTGGCCTCCTTCTGACCACCTCCGGCAGCCCATGGAGACATCGTGACCTTCCTTCCCCACTCAGCTAGCCTGTCCCTCACCCCAGCCCCTAAGGCCCACCCTGATCTCTATCCCTTCCTTTTCAGAGCGACCAATCGGAGCACTTCTCAACCCTGGCTGGTCCCCACACTGCCTGCCAACCCTGTGTCCCCTCTTCCAGTCTCCACCCCCCTCACTCTTGGCAGGTGATCGAATGTCAGTGAAAAGGTAAGCCACCAGACTGGCATTCCCTCCCTGCCCTGCCCCGCCCCACGCCCCCAGGTCCTCTCTTCTCTGTCCCTAACAGGATAGTTGCTTTAAATGCAGTCTCTGGCACCCACCCCTAGAGAGTCAAGTTCAGTAGATAGGAGGCTGGGAATTGTATTTTAATAGTCCAAGTTTAGGACATTTGGGTATTTGTGATGCCTTGTCACCGCCCATGATCCATACACACAAATGTATACGTCTCAACCCCAGTAATATCTGCACAAAGTCATGCATCCAGACATAGCCATGCAGGTGAGGTTCCATTTCCCAGAATGCCACTGACTCCCCAAAGGACCCCTGGCAGGCTGAGTGCCCTCTCTGTGACTCAGTCTCCCCTCCTGTGCAATGAGGTAGCTGGCTGTGACCCCATGAGTGTTCACAGACAGCTGTGCACACCCAGGCACACTGGCAGGTACCGTCCATCCCCCATCCCATGCACCTAGACACAGATACAGAGACACAGGCAGGCACGTGCACACTCAGAGATGGACCCGATGCACGCACAACTCTACAGATGCACAGAGAGATACAGTGAGTCCCGGACACACGTGAGGGCATACACATGCCAACACACGGATGGATACACACAGAGACAGGCAAAGACACTCACTGTTAAGTGGATGCACACACTCACACACACACACACACAAACATGCATACGGACACTCACTCTCCTCTCCCCATTTTCCTGGCCAGACTCCACGTGGAGAAGCTCGTGGAAAAGAAAAACAATGTGAGAGCCTGCGGGGGAGGGGAGGGCGGCAGGAAATCCAAGTGCCAGCCAGGCAGCCTGGGCTGTGCTAGAAATGGGGGATGGAGGCGGGGAGGGGGTCCTGGGTCCCGGGCCCTGTCTGCTGGGCCCTTCCTGCAGCCCCTCAATTGAGAGGGTAACAGGGAGGGGGCCACTGCCACGCCTTCTCTGCCTCTGGGCGGGGCCAGGCCTGGCACGGGCTCGGCAGGGAGGGGTGGCCTGCTCCTTCCAGGAATCCCAAGCCTGTCGCTAAAGGGGCAGGGCGGTGCCACCCAGGCCCCTAATGGCTTCCAGGCGCCCAAGCTAAAGGCAGGGGTGAGCTTCAGGCTCAGCTCCTGCGCCCCTTTATGGCAACCTGGTCTGGGCCCGGGCACTGTCTGCTGGGCCCTTCCTGCAGCCCCTAAACTGAGAGGGTAACAGGGAGGGGGCCACTGTCACACCCTCTCTGCCTCTGGGCTGGGCCAGGCCTGGCACGGCTCGGCAGGGAGGGGTGGCCTGCAGCCCTTCCTGGGGGCTGGGGGAGGAGGAAGGACAGCAGCAGGGACAGAGGGGATCTGAACAGCCCTCTTGCTCTTCCTCCAGTGGCTCAGAGGCCCCCCGAGGGTGCATATGCCCACGTGTGGGAAGGAGTGGGGCCCGGGTCTGCCCACCAGGAACCCTGCACACCCACAAATTCAACCGGACCCTGCCAAGCAACACACCCCTCTCCACCCCTCTCACATAACACAGCCTTGGGGACAAAAGCTCACAGAGCCCTGGTAACGCACACACTCACACACAACACAGGTCCAGCTTGGTTACAGACACAGGCGGCCCTGCCCGCTGCCCTTACCCTCCACGCTCAGTGTCTCCTTCCCATCGCTGTGCCTTTATGGGTGCAGGGTGGCTTCCTGAGCCCCCCAGGAAGCAGGTCCTCACCCCTCCAGAAGCAGGTCCAGGAGGTTCCAGCCACTGCAGACCACAGGGACACTTCCTCACTCCACCTTCCCCTCTCCTGCCTCCCACCAGCCAAATGGCTCTACTCCTGCTCTAACTCTCAGACTCTGAACACCCCCGCCCCCCAATCCTTCAAGCTCAATCCCATCACCCTCAGGAAATGCCTTGACCTTCCCAGCCCCACCGCCTGCCCAAGGAGCACAGCCCTACAACCCTCCACCGCCAGAGCTGGCCAGCTGCCCGCTTCTTGCAGCTCAGGCCTCCGCCCACCCAGGCGGGACTCTTGTGCCACCCAGAGCTTCTAGGACAGGCCCGGCGTAGAGGACTGGCTTCAATTTGGCCGGGAGGGTGGAGAGCAGAAACCGAACTGTAACTTGTGTACCCTTAGCTGGGCAACAGGGCTGAGTGGCACCCAGAGCTCCCCAACCCCAGCCCTCAGCCATCCTCACCGCTCCAGACAGCTGCTGGCCACACTCTAGAACAGAAGCAAGAATGCTTCCACACGATACTTGCTTTGGGCTAGGCCCTCATTAGGTTTGCCTACAGGAAGTGATCAGTGGTTCCTGCTGCCTGTGGACTGGTCTGGAACATCTCTCCCTTGTTTCTCCACCAGCAAACTCCTACACATCCTTCAAGACCCACCTTCAGTTTCCACTCCTCTGGGACACCTTCTCTGACCTCGTAACAGATTATGTTAATGATCCCAAAGCACTGGCACCTCCCTGTTTTTCAGCAATGGCCACATTGTGAAGTCCACAAGGGCACCTTGGTCCTGCTGGCTGTCAGCACAGGGCCCAGCGGACAGCAGATGCTGCATTAATGCTTCCCGGGCTATGGAGAAAGATGGACAGGTAGGAGTCCCCTTGCGACCAGGGAGAGTTGAGTCATCCTAAGGATCAGGAGTCACTTTGTGGCAGGCTCTGAGACAGGTAGGTGCCTGAGCCTGTCTGTGGCCAAGGTCAGGGTCAGAGGTCATCTTATGTTCAAGTCAGTGGTCAAGCCTCTTATCTGAAGAAGCCAAATGGGCCCATAGAGGGACAACGTTGTGTTTTGTCCTAAGCATGTTTAGATGACTCTCAATATCCAATGAGGGGAGTGAGCCATGCTGAAGCCTGGATGGGGCCCAGCTGGGGGGACTAGGGGTGTGCCTGGTGGCCCAACTCCTCCCTCCAGCTCAGAAACCCCCTATGTCCCCCCCAGAACCTTTCAGGTGGCGCTATGGGGCTGGCCCAGGGCCCCAGGCCTGGCTGTGGGCAGGGAGCAGAGCCCAGCAGGAAACCGCAGAGGACAGCCTGATTGGATAAGTGCAGGGTCCCAGGCTGGTCAGCCACAAATTGTGGGCACCTGTCTCTCTGACCTGCTGCCTGGGCTCCAGACACTGGACCTCCAGGAGAGGACGGAGGGAGGCAAGAGAACCTGAGCCCTGGGGTGGGCACCCTTGGACTGTCTCAGATACCCCCATCTCAGACCGAGGAGCCGCAAAGGATAGGCCAGGTCACTGACTATAACGTTTCTTTACAAATGGCCCCTCTGAGGCCCAGGGGAGCAGCTACTCCCCACATCTACAGAGGACCAGTAGCAAAGTAGTGTGTGTGTGTGTGTGTGTGTGTGTGTGTGTATGTGTGTGTGTGTAGAGGGGGTTGGGGCACCTCTATAATGCGGTCCTCATGCATCTGGCCAAGCGGTCAACCATAACTGGTATGGAAGAGGGTGGGAGCC